GCAGGGAGTGACCCAGGGAGCATGGGGGCTGGGTGGTATAACTGCCTATTTGCCCCGGCCACCAGGGCGGGTCGGGGCCAGGCTGCAACATGTAAGCTTCAGCCCTCTAGGGCTACATCTAGACTGCAGGCTTCTTTGGAAGAAGCTTTTCCGGAAGAGATCTTTAGGAAAAAAAAATTCGAAAGAGAGTGTCTACACAGCCAAAGTGCGATGAAAAAGTGATCTGCTTTTTTGAAAAATAGCATCCACATTGGACATTATCTCGCATTTCACTTGCGATTCCTGTGGACGGAGTGGCCACCAGGGCACCTGACCTTTTTCCGGGAGGCCTCTTCTTTCAAAAAAGCACCCTCTGCTGCGTCCACACACACCTTTTTCCGAAAAAGCTTTTTCAGAAAAAGATTTCTTCCTCGTAGAAAAAGGTTTACCACTGTCAGAAAAACCCCTCTGGTCTTTCAACTTCCTGCTAATGAGGTTTATTACCATCAGACAAACCCCTCTGTTCTTTCGACTTTCTTTTGAAAGAACGCAATAGCAATGTGGACATAAGTGTCGTTTTTTCTGGAAAAATGGCCGTTTTCCTGAAAAAATTCTGCAGTGTAGACATAACCTGGATGGCCAGGAAGGATTGGGCTGGGGTGGGCGGGGCTTGGCTCCCGGGGGGGGGCTTTGGTCAGAAGGGGCGGGGGGTTTGGTCAGAAGGGGCGGGGCTGGGGCTTGCCTTCCCCAGCTTGGTCTTCACCCGCCACCCATGCCAGAGAGTCAAAAAGCCTATCAATTCTCTCCTCAGGGGCTCCTTACCGGAAACTGTGGGGAAGACTATACTATATTATACTACAGTGTGCAGTAGCCAGACACCTCACAGTGCTTACCCGGTGGGGTATCGTTACCCCCTTTTCACAGGCATATGGGCAGGCTGACAGATCAGTGGAGCCACGCTGATTTACACCAGCTGCGGATCCAGGCCCTTGAGCCAGGATCAGGGCAGGAAATAGGAACCAGGTCTCTTAGTTCTTGCTCCAGCAAGATACGTCACTCGTGTCCACTGCTATATGCATGGGCCTGTTGCGT